ATAGACTATTAGCAAAATTATTACTGATATGCAAATCAAAACTACAATGAGGTATCTATCACCTCACACCAGTCAGAGTGGCCATCATCAAAAAGACTACAAATAATACAAATACTGGAGAAGGTGTGGAAAAAAAGATTCCTACACTGCTGGTGGAATATAAATTAGTGCAGCCACTATGGGAAACAGTACGGAGTTTCCTTAAAGAAACAAAATATTTATCATATGATCCAGCTGTCCTACTCCTTGGCATATATACAGAAAAGAAAAATACTCTTACGTTGAAAAGATACATGCACCCCAACATTCATGGCAGCACCACTTACAATAGCCAAAACATGGAAGCAACCTAAGTGTCCCTTGACAGATGAATGGAACCTGTTTCTGGAGAATACACTTCAATCCAGGATTCTTTGTGGCTAGCAGCGTGTTAGGCGAGTATGTAACAAGAAAGAAGGGGCTGGCTTTCTAGGAGTCCACTGACCACTTGGAGAGGGAAATTAGAAATGTTTGGAGCAAGTGTGACAAGTTCAGGCTTAGATGTCCTTGAACATGAGTGAAAGTTGAAAAGACACCCTCTGTTTTCAGTTGAATTCCTTGTAGTATGGAGACTTTGGAAAACATTAAACTGAAATCATTCAGAGGGCAATGTCCAAAGTGATATGTTGAATGTCTGCCGTAAGCTCCAGGGTTTGATGAATTGTTTTTAAAGGGATCATGAGTGTTTGAAACAGGACAAAAATGAAAAATATATTGCAAGGCTGTAGTGGACCATTTTGAGAAGCTTTGACTAATTGTAGAAAGAAAACTAGAGCCACTAACAGCACAGCAAGTTTGGAAAAATGATGTATTTAGAGAGAGCCCTGTTGGGAGTGTGATTTGAGGTGAGGAAGGAAATGGGATCCTGGAATATGGTACAATGCTTATAGGTTTTTCTGCTTTTACTGTGTTGGAAACATTTGCAGTGCTCACTGTTCACCGCCTCAATTTTGCCAGATTTAAAAAATAATAACCTCCTCTTGGGGTTGGGATTCTGATGAAAAACTTTGGCTTATGGACTAATAGCTTATGATTCTATACGTGATGAAATGGATTTTATTTACCTACACCTTCTCCTTGATTTCCTTCTCTTTCTTCTTCATTTTTTCATGTCTTTTATGGCTTTGTTGGAAACATGTAAGGAAATCACATAATTCCTCCTTAGGAATTATCTTCTTTTTTCTGCTATGTTTTCACCCTCTGTTAATTGGCGATATAACAGTCTTCCCCAGAGAAATTAATCAGAATTCCACAAGCTGAAAAATTTAACTTCAGGTGAAAAATAAGTAGCAGAAGTTGATGAACCTTAAACAATAAATATGTGTATTTTATGCAGCTACCACTAGTAATTAAGAGAAAGTGACAAAATGGGAGGAACCCTAACTTACTTGGTTATTCTGAGGGGTTACTGGTGCATTTATACAAATAGTAGGGATTATGGAGCATTTTGTTGAATGTCTATGACACATTGCCACCTTGTGGCTGCACACTTTGCTTTCAGTGTAAAAGCAGATTTCTTAATATTAAGCCTACATGATATTTTGTCTTATTCCTAGTATTTAAACTTCCCTTAGAAAAGGAAAGACTCATGACATACGAATACATACAATACAAGGCAAGAGAATTTAAGAGAATGGCCTCATGTTCTTAGAAGAGGCAGGCTGAAGTATCAAGGGGTAGAAATTCACAATGTCTGCAACTAACTCTACTGTGGGATTGGTACATGAAAGAGAAAGGGAGAGAGAGAGGGAGAACAAGGTTAGCAATTCACCACTTGTCGAGGGAATATGGTGTTCATTGTATTAAACTTTTCTGTTGTAGATTTGCTTAAATGTCCCCAAAATATTGGCAGAAAAAAGAAAAAACAACTGGGATAAGGCTATAAATGGAGCTAAGACGGAGGCAGAATCAACCTCCGCATTGTGTAATGGACTGACTGCATTTGGAACCCAGACTGGGTTCTGCATTTTCTAGTAGCTGATGTGTCACTGTCTAAGGTGCCCTTGCTACATTTCATTGTCCATAAGGTTTAAGGGCAAAGTGTCTAAGACTAGACAGAAATTGGAGTGTCCTTGGAGGCCCTCCTAAGTAGGACACCAATGAAATGAACAGCAAAGGAACAAATATTTCCAGAAATATAATCTGTAATTCCTTTTCCCTGCTGGTCAGGGCAGATCCTGGGGTGGATGCACCACTAGTTTGAGGGCCTCTCACTGAATTACTAGGTAGCAATGAAATGTACTAAAATACTGATTGGCGGTGAATTTCAGATGGTACTTACTGGCAAGTGCTTGAAATCCAGTTGTTCTGTGATATCAATGAGTACAGCCGAGCTTGGGCGAGAGTTGACATCATATAATAGTTGAGTGAGCGTAATCTATGGTTGGATGGCATCACCGACTCAATCGATATGAGTTTGAGTAAATTTCGGGAGTTGGTGATGGACAGGGAGGCCTGGCATGCTGCAGTCCATGGGGTCGCAAAGAGTTGGACACGACTGAGCAACTGAACTGAACTGAATTGAATCTACTTTATCTTAACCAGCTTGAGAGGAGTAACTCATACGCAAGGTCAGTTTTTGTTTTTGCCATGGTTTTGAATATGCTGCATTGCATAGTCAGACACATAAATGAATTCATCCCTGATTTATTTTTCCTATGAATACATCAATGAGAGTCTTAATCTGAAAATCTCTGACAGGTATAAGCAGATGACCTTCTTTCTACCCAAGAAAACAAGACATATCTTAGTGAGATCAGTTCAGTTCAGTTGCTTAGTTGTGTCTAACTCTTTGTGACCCCATGGACTACAGCACACCAGGCTTCCCTGTCCATCACCAACTCCTGAAACTTGCTCAAACTCATGTCCATCAAGTCAGTGATGCCATCCAATCATCTCTTCGTCTGTTGGCCCCTTCTCCTGCTTTCATTCTTTCCCAGCATCGGAGTCTTTTCTAGTGAGTCATTTCTTCGCATCAGGTGGCCAGTGTATTGGAGTTTCAGCTTCAGCATCAGTCCTTCCAATGAATATTCAGGACTGATTTCCTTTAGGATAGACTGGTTGGATCTCCTTGCAGTCCAAGGGACTCTCAAGAGTCTTCTCCAACACCATAGTTAAAAAGCATCAGTTCTTCAGTGCTCAGCTTTCTTTATAGTCCAGCTCTCACATCCATACATGACCACTGGAAAAACCATAGCTTTGACTAGACGGACCTTTGTTGGCAAAGCAATGTCTCTGCTTTTTCATATGCTGTCTAGGTTGATTATAGCTTTCTTTCCAAGGAACAAGCATCTTTTAATTTCATAATTGCGGCCCCACAAGAGACTGACCCAGACTTGCCCATGAGTGTCCAGGGGTCTCCAGCAGACGCGTGGGTTGGCAGTGGCCTGCTGCAGCGTCCAAGGCACTGAATGCAGTATGTGCCCTTTTGAAGGAGGTCACCATTATCTTCATTACCTCCACCATAGTTTGGCCCCAGGTCAAACAACAGGGAGGAAACACAGCCCTGCCCATCAACAGAAAATGGGATTAAAGATTTACTGAGCATGGCCCCGCCCATCAGAACAAGACCCAGTTTCCCCCTCAGTCAGTCTTCTCAGGAAGCTTTCATAAGCCTCTTATCCTTATCCATCTTAGTGAAGAGGCCCTTAAAAGGCCTGGCTTTGAGCAATGCTACCCAACTCTTTCTTGTTTTTAAATTTCTATGAAGTTGACTCTTTTCTGTGGTAGTTGGAATATCCATGAATATCTTTTTAATTCATTTTCATTCTTAATAACTCTCTGAGTCTATGGGACTTGGGAATATTTAGGGCTCAGGAATATTTTTAATAACTATCCAGACACACATATATGCATATATACTTACTTGGAGGAAACCATTGAAAAACATAGGGCACTATTCAAGTATGAAAGGTTTTCTTGTGAAAGCAGGACAGATCTTGAAATAAGTGTTGTGACACAAGGGATTCTTTTGTAGAAAACTGTCTTTTGAAGTAACTTTGGTTTCTCTGACTCTTGTGACAGATTTTCTTTTAAGAAACTATAAAGCGATCTAGGGATGTATTGATTTCCGCTAAGGGCTATGGTGCTTAGAAATTTCCCTTCCCTACATATATTTGTGGGCACCAAAAGCCTGTGAGTTTTTTTGCGAACAACCAGAGAAGTGACCTATGGATTCTCCCTAGAATCTATAGAGCAATATTCTTCATTTTTCACAGGGGATCATGGCCCATGTTGTTGATGTTCAATCACTAAGTCATGTCCAACTCTTTGTGACTCCCTAGACTGCAGCATGGCAGACTTCCCTGTCCTTCCCTATCTCCTGGAGCTTGCTCAAACTCATGTCCCTCCCTAGACTGCAGCATGGCAGACTTCCCTGTCCTTCCCTATCTCCTGGAGCTTGCTCAAACTCATGTCCCTGAGTCAGTGATGCCATTCAACCATCTCATCCTCTTTTGTCCCCTTCTCCTCCTGCCTTCAATCTTTCCCAGCATCACGGTCTTTATTGTGAGTTGGTTCTTCATATCAGGTGGCCAAAGTATTGGAGCTTCAGCATGCAGTCCTTGGCACATGAAAGGACATATTTTACATAATGACTCTGGATACACACACACCCATGTATAATGTATACATTTCATGTAACAATTCTTTCCCTTCCTTCCTTGGACTCTGATCATTTCTGTTCTATTGCACTAAAAAATACTAGTCACAACCTACTAACTTGATTTCATAACCCACTAATATACCATGGCCTGCAGCTTGAACACACCATGGTGGGGATTTTGCAGCTAGCCAGCCTCTTTCAGAGGGAAGACTCAACAGTGGGGCCCCGGGGTCTCTAAACCAGGGCCGGGAGAGAGGGATTTAGAGAAGGAAAAGAAGGAAGTGTGCCGGCGGCGGGGGTCTTTCATTCAGGTTGAAAGTATTCCCAGCAAGTGATGCCACTGTCCTCTTCTCTGCAGCTTGATCACATATTATCCCCTCCGCCCATGCCATTTCGGAAATGCAGCAACCCAGACGTGGCTCCTGGCCCTGGGAAGTCGCTGAAGTTTAAAAGACAGCTGAGTGAGGATGGAAGACAGCTGCGACGGGGGAGTCTGGGAGGTGCTCTGACTGGTGAGTTGTGTGAGTGACCTGCTTAAGAGACGAAATTGTGTTTAGACAGTACGGGCTTCCCTGTGGCTCTTATGGTAAAGAATCTGCCTGAAATGTGGCAGACCCAGGTTTGATCCCTGGGTCAGGAAGATTCCCTGGAAAAGGGAATGGCAACCCACTCCAGTATTCTTGCCTAGAGAATCCCATGGATAGAGCAGCCTGGCGGAGAGTTGGACACGACTGAACAACTAAACAACTTTCTAGTACAGTCAACCCTCCATATCCTTGGGTTCTGAACCCACAGATTCAACCACCTGCAGATGAAAAATATATATATTTTAAATTCTAGAAAGTTCCCTAAAGCAAAACTTGAGTTTGCTGTCTGCTGATGACTATTTACATTATATTTACATTGTATCAGGTATTATGAGTAATCTAAATGTGGCTTACAGTATCCAGTAGGATGTGCATAGTTGATAAACAAATACTATGCCATTTTATATAAGGGACTTGAGCATCTGTGGATTGGGTATCTGTGGGAGCCCTGGAACCAGTCCCCATGGAGAGGCAGAGACAAGTGTAGAGGGTCCCCGATGACAGCAGAGTTCCATGTGTGAGCATCAGCCCCTTGAGGGGGTGCCTGCCCCTCCACAGACCATGTGGTAAAATCTAATCCAATTCAGAGAGCAATTAAATTGAGGATTAGATTAGTAATCTTGACTGAAGTGTAATTTACATATTAGATGTATTCATTCTAAGTGCACATGTGGTTGGGTTTAGCAAAGTTATTTACCAAAATATCTTGATTTTGGAACTACAACCAAAATCAAGATATAAAACGTTCCCTGCATCCCTTCCCTGCACCCAGGCAACTCTCTGCTTTTGTCCATATTAATGGAATCATGCAGTACATGTTTTTTTGTGTCTGCTTTTGTTCAGTATGTTTTTAACATTCATCCATGTTGTTAGTGGAAAAAGAAATGGCAACCCTCTCCAGTATTCTTGCTTGGAGAATCCCATGGACAGAGGATCCTGGCAAGCTATAGTCCATAGGGTTGCAAAGAGTCAGACATGACTGAAGTGACTGAGGATGCACTCACATACATATTATTAGTTGTATCTGTAGCATATGTTGAATTTTATAAGAAACTGCCAAACTGTTTCCAAAATGATTTATTTTTACTTTCCTACCACCAACAGGTGAGCTAATTACTCTGCATTCTTAACCACCTGTGGTATTGCTAGGCTTTTTAGTTTTAGCCATTTTAGTGGGAAAGTAGTTCTGTCACATTCTGGTTTTAATTTATATTTTCTTGATGACTAAATGATGTCAAACATCTTCTCATGTGCTGATTGGACATTTGTATTTTTCCTTTTGTGAAGTGCCTGTTCAGATCTTTCACCCATTTTTTTCTTTCCCCTATTTGTAACTTGTGTTGTTAAATTAATTGAAAAGCTAAAATCCCTAAATCTATAAATAACTTTTATTAACTTGGAAGATAAATTAAAATTTTAAAAATTAAAATAACTTAAAGTATGTTTTAAAAAATAACTTGCCATATAAATATTCATGTTATTAAACTTAATTTTAAATCATTGAAGGTTAGGTTTCTATTCATTCTGAGTGCTTTTCCCTCTAAATATAGATATTTGGGGGGAAACTTTATTGTTTTTGAAACCCTCACACAAAGTTTTCTCTATGAGTGACAGTCTTGCTTGCCAGTTCATAAGTGACCTCAAAAATGAGTTGTTTTTTTGGAACATATGGATTTTGAGTTTTGAAGATGAAATTTCTGGAAACAAAAATGCTTCTATACCATGATCAGTCTAGAACATGTGACCCAGTATGGGCACACTGCTGGGATTGAGGGTGAACTGACCTCAGACCAAGGGGAAAAAAATTCAAAAAATTGCTGTACTTCACTAACATTAAGAAAATGTTCCCACTGGAGTTTTACTGATGTTCTTCTAATGCATACTAGGACATTTTTCTTGACTTTCATTTCTATAAATGCAGATTTTTTTTTAAAGTAGGATATCCTAAAGGTTTAGTATAACTTTTAGTTTCTTAGGGGAGGATATGGAATCTTAGAGCTTAAAAGACTCACCCCTTGCTTACTAATTTCACTTAGGAAATTTACTTAACTTTACTTAAACTACTTTTGACCAATAGGAGGGAAGGAATAAGGGTTCTCTCCAATTTTTGCCAAAGCAGTTTGCTTAAAACTTTCAAATAATGCAAAAGTATTACAAATACATGACCTGGAACATTAAATTTGGCCTTTGGGCTTCAAAAAATACTGAACTTGATTCCAATTTTAAAATAACAAACCTCAAAAGCTCCAGCAATTCTAGCCTTCTTATGTAATTTTGCTTGGTATAAAATTATTTTAGGTAATTAAATCTTTGGTAAGATAATTTTCAAAAATGTTTAGTGGGGAAAAAAATGTTTAGTGATCCTTGGGAGAGCTTTGAAAAAAAAAAATCTCTTGAACATCAGCCCGTTTAAAAAAAACAGTCACTTGGAAATTATTTCAGAATATGAAGAGAAAACACTCTTAGTTGGTCTTTTAGATAGCTTCATTGAGGATTTAATGAAATAACATACACAGAGCACTTAGCCTAGGGATGGTGGCTATTAGTGTTGTGTGCAGAGTGTACTGAATTTAGAATCTTTGCAGTTGATGGGTAACTTGGGCTTTGAACATCAGTTTGAAACCTTTATCAGCTGAGTTTCTGCTTTGTGTCAGGCACTGTACCAGTATCAGGTAGTAGAGCGGAGAGAAGAAAGATCATCTCTGATCATTAAGAAAAGTGGTTTCCACTAGTTTTAGGCAACTGTGAATAGTCACATATGATCTCCCCTTGGGATAGATCTTGTTGCTAAACTTAAATTAGTCAAACCGGTTTTGCCGTCATAAATTTGTGGTATTAGATATTTGCACTGTCAGTTTCTGTAGCTTAAAGACCAGTCACCTTCCTATTGTTTACCTTTATTTTGTTTACCTTATTGTTTACCTTTGTTTTATTCCAAGGTTTCTTTTCTTTTAGGAGTTTTCTACTGCTTTCTTTGAAGCAAAGACTTTATGAAAAGCTAACTTTCACTGAGTCTGAAAATTCAGTTTGAAAATTTTGCTACCCAATTATCCTTTATAAGTTTCACTAAACTCTTAGGTTGTTGAGAAGAAGATCTGTGATCTTCCTCATCTGTTCATCCCTAATAGCAGCTAACATGAAGAATTTACTATGTGGCAGGCACAGTGTTTAGGGAATTACATTTATTGACTTACATATCTGTGCTCTTATGAGGGAGGCACTCTTATCTCCACTTAACAGGTGAGAACACTGAGGCACAGACAAGCTGAGTAAATTGCACAAGATCATGAACTGGATGATGCCAAGATGTGAACCCAGGTTTTGTGGCTCTCAGTCCATGCTTGTAGCCACTACCCTGGGCCTCACATAGCTGGTACCCAATAGGTCTTTAATATGTTCCAGCAGGATTGATTGGAGTAATTTTTTCCAATTAATTGGACAATTTTTGCTCAGTTTATATCCGGAGCTGACTCAATCTGTACAGATCCTTGTTTATTAATTACAAAAGTAAATTAAAAGTAGGCAATTAACACCCATATTAAAGCTTTAAAATTTATATATTCCTTAGCCCAGCCATTCTGTTCCTCAGATTTCATCACAAGGAAATAGTCATGAATATGTGTAGAGAATTTGCCTTAGTTATGTTTAGAGAGCACCATTAATAATAATAAAGATGGCAAATTATCTAAAATCTAGATATCTGGCAAAAGAATATTGGTGAAACATAATATGGTATACACATAAAGTGGAAAACAGCCATAAACATTAAATCATGTTGCAAAAAATATTAACATTGAAAAAGACTCAATATATTTTTCATGTGAAATCTCTGTATTGAATGGACTCATTAACTTGTCATAGGGCTTACTATAATTGTAATTAAATAATTATATTTTTAATGAGAGGGAGGAAAATAATTCCTATCTCCTAAAAAGTTTTCTCAAACTGCAGTTCAATCCATGACTTACTTTTGCCCCTGAGGTTTTCTGTGGCATTAGGTGGTATACTGGTAGACAACGATCATGCTACATAACCACAAAATTTCACCGTAAAACAACAGTACACATTCCTTCCTTTTTCCCATGACTGCAGGCCAGCTGAGTTTGGGGTGATTTAGCCTGGTCTCTGCTGTGATGGCTTCCTGGGTCCAGCCTAGGTCAAGATCTGCTCCACCTTTCTCTCCTCTTCCTTGAACCAGCAGCTACCCAAAATACCATGTTCCTCTTCTAAAAGATGAGTGCAAGGACATGTATATCCACCTGCACAGGCAGATTTCAAGTCTCTTCTGGCGCCATGTCTGCTAACTTTGTATTGGCCAAAGCAAGTCACACGATCAAGCCCTGCATCAAGGGTCAGAAGCGTGCCCTCCCCACCATGACACTCGGCAAAGATGCAGATATATAACACAGCTGGGGAGAAATGAAGAATCAGCACCAGTAATTCAGTCTGATATAGTTAGCCTTTCTTTTTAAACATCATCTTTTAGAATATTTACATTTACCTATTTTTCAATTAAGAAAGTATACGAGTTCATGGTGGACAGTTTAGAAAATACAGAGCAACATAAAGGAAAAAACTGTAAGACCATAATGCTACCATGCAGACACCCTTGATTGAACTTTTGACATTTTCTTCCCCAGCTAAAGCTTTGAATGACTTGAGTAGTAGATCAGAAGAAAAAACAACCAGTACCTTTTATGCAGGGCTGGCATTTCAACAACAGACCTAGAGTTTACCATACCCATCACTGCCTGCTTCTTTTCTTTGAGTCTGCTGATGTTTTATATCTTCATGGCCCACAGCTTGCTAACTAGGCACCCAGAAGCATCGTGTAAACATTGACTGAGCTTTGGAGCCCCCTGATGAGGAAAAGAAGCATTATTCAAATCGTTATACAGGTTCTTAAATCTGAGCATGATAAGTGG